TGTGATTACAATATTGTGGATAAGTAAGAAAATGTCTTACTTTAGGAGGTGTCCTTTATGTTTAAAGTATTTAGAAACAAAAATGTCATGATGTTTATAATGGACCTTAAATACTTCGGGGGGAAGTATATATTTCAAATTTTCTGTAATAAAATTTTTTAATACATTAAAAAGAGAGAAAAGGAGCTTTTTCTCTGCCTTGGTATTTAGAAACAAAGTATTTAGAACTAAATGTGAACTAAATGTGGAAACATATTGGGGATTGGTTATGTGACAGTATGTTCTGCTGCTCCCTCTAGTTTTCTGCATATAATCTTTCATAATAAAAACACCCAGTATTGAGCATTGAATCAGGGTCTTTGCACTGAGCTATATTCCTAGTCTTTTTTATTTATTTATTTATTTATTTTGATACCTTGATTGTGGCAGGGCCAGGTAGGCAGCAGAGGCAGCAGGCAGCCTGCAAGGGGCAGGCTTCCAGGGAAAGTCAGACCCAGCCCTGATTCACCGTCTCTATCACATAGGCACTTCCGTTGAGCTGTTGTGATGGGTTAGATCTCAAATGGCTCCAAAAGCTGCCTGAGTTTGGAAGATGATTGATTTGTGGGGGAACTAGCTGATTCAGTATCAGTAGGCCAACTTGGTCAGAAGAGGCCAATCCATGGGTGCAGGACATGGTTCCACCCTGCTCTCTGCCTCCTGTTCTCCATGCTGTGAGCTCTCTCCTCCACGTCCCTCCACCATCCTGCCTTGGAACATGGCAGGATGTTCCAAGAAAATAAACCTCTCCTTTTTAAAATTGCAAGTATCTGGTATTTTGTCCCAGTAGCAAGGAAATGGCTAAAATGGCTATTTATAGCCAGTCCTGAATCAAGTAAATAAGAAATATTTGAGGAGTCTTCTTTGATGCCTGACCATTGAAGTCCTTCTTATGGGGTGTGCCTGTCTCCACAAACAGGCAGGCATAGTTTTCCTCTGCAGTGCCAATGTTCTTTTGCTGTGTTAGTATACCCACACACAAAAAAGAATCATGGTGGGGTTTTTTTTAAGATATTTTCTGAAGGTACATACTCCTTAAGAGACCTTACATTTGTCATTTCGGATTCCTTAGCATCTGGGGCTTTTTGGAGGGGGGACCTGTAATCTCTTTAGCTTTACATGAAAGTTCTTTTTTCAAACATAGCATTGAAACAGATTCCCTGATTGAGCTCTTGCATTGTATTGTTCCTTATCACAATAGCCAGCCTATGAAGAGGAGCAACACTTGGAATGCTGTTCTTCCTTTATGTCCTCTAACTTTACGGTAACATTGTTGCCAGGGACTTTGCCAAATCTGAAGTCTCACATTAAGCATCTCTTAAAACAGACATCACTGCAAACCAAGAGCTTAAACTTTGCAAAGTACTGTTCTGGTCCTCTGAATACTGTTATCCTTCAACTGAAACACTGTTTCTTTCCTACAAGCCTTTGGACATATGAATACACAACAAGTGACCTCTTCGTGATAATTTCATAAATTCTGTGGGAAATGAATTGTATCAGATCAATATATCTGAAGATGCATCACAATTTTTTGAGCTTTAAGGGACTTTAAAATGAATTTGGTACAGCTCTGTTAGTGGAGGAAACATTCATTTTAACTGCATAGTCAATTCTCAATTAACAAGGGTAATGGAGTGGAAGGAGGTCACCCATAATCAAAAATCATGGTGAAAATAAGATTATAGTCAACACTCGATTTTCTGGAGGCTGATTAACTGGACTGTAGATTAATTGAGGTTAAGACATAGCAGGCTCTGGGATGTCATCCTCTTGGTAATTGGCCAGCAGCTGCTCATCATCTGATTCCCACCCTCTCTGTCACAGAGAGGAGCAAGGTCTCACTGGAGCCAGATCAGAGAGCTAGTTGACCTTGGTTGGATGGTATCATGATGGTAGAGATCTCAGGCTTGGGAGTTGGCACTCAGGACTTGTCCCGCCATCAAGACATGGAGCAGTAGATCTAAACACCAAGCCTCAGGACCACCTGGGGGCTTCTTAAGTCCCAGATGGTTGTAATCCAGCCCTGATTTCTGATTGAGTAGATCTGAGAATGAGACCTAGGAGCCTGCACTTTCTAACAAGTGCCAAGTGATGGTGCTGGTCCTTGAAAATCGCTATACTCTAAAATATGTTTTTCATCCCAGATTGCACATTAGAACCAACTGGCTATTGCTGTATGGATGTACCTTGACCAATTTCACAATAGGCTTGGAACATGGGGCAAGGCAAGGGTACTGTAAAGCTACCTAGGTGATTCTAATAGGCAAATGCAATTGACCCCTGCAGCTTTCCTGTCTCCCACAACTCAGACATCTGTGGCAGTCCTTGTTATTTTCCTGATCTTTACTCCCCTGTATATTTGTTTACTGATTTTGTTTAAATCAAGAATTGTTTTCATGTAAATAGAATTATTTAAAAGACAAATGATATACAGTGCCAGTGTCTCTTTCATATAGGAAAACTAGTGCCACAGGCCATCAGCGAGCCATATGTGTAACACAGATATGTTATCTGTTGACATGTTTAACTTGTCACATACAACTGCTTTGTAGCCCATCATACTTTGGGAATCTCTACTCTGGAACTTTGTGCTTTTTCTGTCTTTTTTCTAGAACAGTGTGAAGTCCACTCTATATGCTCTTCACACTCTCATGGGCCAAGCAGGCTGTACTAACCCTGGGTATGCTCAGCCCTTCTGCCCACAGAACAAACAGATTTGACAGCGAAGGTGGGTAACTGCAGTGCAGTCGTTGATTCCGTGGCCATCTTTACTTTTACTGGTAATTCAGCTGGAGGAGAGTGAACAGGTATTGCCAAGAGCGGAATACCACTCAGCAACACAAAAGAGCAAGTTGCTGACTCACAGAGAAAGATGGATGAATCTCAGAAGCACCGTGCTAAGTGAAACCAGAAATAGAAGACTACAGGGTATAGTTCTATTCATACTTAAAAATTCTAAAATATCACAAACTACTGGTGGAAAACATCAAAAAGCGGTTGATTAAAGGAGAAGGACAAAGAAGTTGAGTGAAACAGACACAGGGACAAAGGCAATGTTCTGTACATTGATCGGGATTGGAGCAGCATGGGCAAATGCATTTGTCAAAATTCATCAGATGGTGCATTTTACTTATGTTCCAGGGGAGGAAAACGGCTAAGCAGAATTGATCTTTAGTTAGTGATGTACGTATGAAATTGTGTAGGGCTATGTGTGCTACTGTATCCGTGAAAGGGATCAATAGACAAGCTGGTTTAATGAATGGATAGACAAATACACAATTCCACGTAATAAAATATTAACTGTGGGATTTAGGTAGTAGATATCTAGATGTTCATTTTGAAGGTATGTTTGAAAATCTTTTACAATAAAAATTGGGGTGAGGTTGGCACCTACACTCAGAAGTATTTCACTTACATGCCTGAATTCTTTAGTATTTGCTGCTCTAATGGCTCGCACCAGGGATGGCTCCTCACAGTAGAGGCAGACAGGGATTGGGCAGGGTCCTTAATGAGGGGCTGCTGCACTGTGAGAGGACTGGGAGTCAAGCTTCTCTGTGATTGGCCCCACTGCGGAGGAGAATGTAAGAGTCATTTTCTTCCTTTCCATCTGTGCTGGGTCCTGGCGGTTCTCCCTGGACAGTGAACCCTGGAAACACAGCCCTGCAGAAGCTGTGTGAGATATGAACTGAAAATATTTCATGTTGTCTGCCACAGAGAGAGTTGCTTCCTAAGTTCCTCCAACCAGCAGGACTCCAAAATATGCCATGCCTGATTTCTTACTGGCTATCCTGAGCCTAGAGAATGTTCAAGATTGTGGTACTGCGCGTGAGCTTTCTTACTGTTCTGAGAACCAGGCAGGTTCAGTGGGCAAGAATGGCCTACTCTGGCTGGTAGGGGGCCACTTGAGAGTACCCATTGTACCCTCTGACTGGGAACCTGAGGAACACCCTTGGACTGCAGGATCTTCCCTGCCCTCAGCACATTCCACAACACAACCTATGCAGCTGCAACAGCATGATCCCATGTCACAACACATAGCTGCACTACAACTCCCTCATGGTGCACACCCACAATATACCATGCATGCTGTGATTGTCACAGCAGTGCAACAGTACATCCCTCCTCTGTCACACACTCATCACACATTCAGAACACTTCTCCCCATGAGATCCCCAACAAACTACCCTTCATTGCACCCCCAGGGAAGACTGTGTCCCCTGCAGCCCATGCTCCTGAGTAAGGTGTCTGTGATTCATATCTTCAGTACAGTTCTTTGGCACACCTCTGCAGCCCTGAGTGAGGTCCTTGGATGGCTACTGGCGGAAAAGCACCTGGGAACTGTGTGATGGCAAAAGCCAGCCTGATTTTACCTTTCTTGCTTGTGTGAGAATCTTGAGATGCATAAGAAGAACCATTTACTCTGAAGGGGAGAGTTTTTGATTGATGTCTAAATGGTGGTTAATATGCTGAATACATCTGTTGTCTCCTACAAGAATGTATAAACCTATCTCAAATAGCAAAGAACTTGGAGCTTGGTGGGAGCATCTGGGCTCTTTTAGAGCCCCTGTTGGTTTCCTCATCTCCAGATGCATAGGACAGCAAAATGGCCCATCCCTTATGATCCACAGGAACTTATATAGCTCTGTATTTCTGTCTCTGGATGAGGCTTCAGCTTCAGGGTTCCACAAGAAACAAGCTGATTGTAATTCTTTGCACAATGTTTGCACAGATTAAAGATAGCTTACAGGATGGTGTAGACACAAGTATCAGTTCTGCCAAAATATGTGTTCATAGAAAAAATGCCTGTCAGAATATGCCAACTCTTAGCTATTATTATTACCATTATTGATTCCATCGTGTCTATGATTTATTAGTGTCATCCATTAAGATTTAAACTGTGAAGACAGTGTTTGGAATTTCTGCAGCTGCAATGATATGATTTCTCGTTTTTATTGCAGATGGTATTCCAACATTTAAGTGACTGCTTACTTTTTCTGTGTCTGACTTTTCCTCTAAAATGAGTTCTGGAGAGCCAACACTGTATCTTCCACATCTCTGTCCTCAGTACTGAGCACCATGGCACGTGCAAGGTATGAAGAATCTGGAAAGTTGGCACAGTGGCATAATTTCCTGATGATTTCCTTGGTAACATTACTGATTAGCTGGTCCAAGCTGCATTCCTGCACCAACTGTGTCTTCAAAGCCGTAGTCGCATTCTCATTCATGAGCTACTGTGTCAGTCTGTGTTGTATGCCAATTGAATGGGACGTTAAGCTACCAACAGGTCTGCAACTCTGCAAGGCAAAATCTTTTTCCCTTCAGTCAGTGACCTGAATTCCTTACCTCTTCGTTGCTAGCAAGGCTTGTCCTCAACTCCCATCCCCATCCATGGTCACTAGACAGGGCCTCCCAATTCTTGCCTTAGAGAGAACATGATGCCAGTTACTGTGGCTAGATATCCATCATAATAGGAACAGGTGTGGCGGTTGCTTGCATGTCTCTAAATCAGTGACATTCTCACCTTTAAAAATTCTTCCTTGAAGAAGGAAAAGTACTACCCAAGAATGTGAGGGACTTGCGTGTCACCTAAAGCAGCCCAGTTTTTGCATACTTGCTCTTGGAACTGCGGTTCTGCCACCAACTGAGCTCTTCCCTGGCTTGCAGTCTGGACCAGTTTTTAGGTAAATGGATTGTGGTAAGCAAATGTGCCCCCCGGAAGGTCTAGTCTGACACAGCCCACAGCTTGCATTTCATTTTTCAGACACTTGCTATTTTATTGCCATGAGCAAAAAGACAGTGATGCTTTCTTTTTTCCTCCCTCTGTGGCTTGTGCACTTCAGTAATTTAAAAATGCTTCTTCTCCTTAATCTAGAAAAGTAAAAATAATTATAATAGAAAATGGGTAATTTGCAGCTACAGTGCCGGGCTGATAATCAAAAACTTGTAAATGGAAACATGAGCATATGTTTATCACTTCTTGAAATTACAATGCAATCAAAAGTAGCTGTGGCCTCAAAGAGAGGATATTATGGAAGGGAAGGCAGGCTTAGTTGTTGGTTAGAGACCTGCCTGCTAATGAGGCTTTTAAGTTGCTGCTGCCTTGGGAGCAGTGAATGAAGGAAGGCATACTGAGAGCTACTTAGCTGTTCCAGGGACCCTCAGATAATCACCTGTGACCTGATCATCCTCCTGTGTGAAACCATGCAGGGGCTCTCCAGCCACCACCATGAAGATCAATCTGCACCTTTCAACATGCCATGCAAGGCCCGCAGCTCCCTGGCTCAGAACCTCACTGAATCTTAGCTACTCCACTGACCTTCTTACAGCCCCAGCATGCCTCCTGGCCTCTCACATTCTCAGGCTTTTGCAAATTTTCTTTCCAGTTTCTTTACCTGCCTCACTCCTAGTCATCCCTCAAAAATTCAAAACATTTACTATTTCTTCCTGGAACCCCTTTCTCAGTCTGCCTGGGCTAAGAGCCTTACTCTATGCACCCAGATACCCCTCTGTTCATACCAGCTGTTACACCTGGGTTGTGACCATTAGTTGACCATCCTGCCCCCTACCTATCACTAGTACAGAAAGGTGAGCCTCCTGGCAGGAATGTGGCTTACCCTTCTATCCACTGTATTCCTGGCACGTTGCCTGACGCCTCGTAGATGCTATTTGATGTTTTCAGAATGAAAGGATTATTAATGGCAATCAAGGGCTTTGAAATGATTCCAGAGTTTGGTTTGAAAAAGCACCATTATGACATAGGGGCATTGATAAAATAAAAGCTGTAATGCATCCCACAGACAGTTGAGATATGCAGACTCTCCACGTCCATGTGCATCTTTGTGCTGCACATGGCACAATGGCTGGGACATGAGGTAGCCCTGCCCATCTCCAAATCAAAAGCAAAATTGACCCAAATATTATGGTCTTGCCTAAGATTCTTTATATCGCTGTAGCATAACCAAGACAATAATGTGTTTGCTGATTTTCATCTTATTTTCGTGGTATTATTACAAGGAACAAAGAGCATATAAATACTCTCAGGAAGCTGGTCTTATTAATGAATTAGTTGCGAGCCCAGAAAGCAAGTTTATCCTATTTGTGCCCTTATGTAACCCAGCATCCAGCTGGCTCTCCAAAGCGGACCCATCTGGATGAGTTCCAAGCATCCAGGTGAGCAGAGGCACAGCATTTAGATTTCAGCCAGTCGCTGGTGTGGGGTTGACTGTTTTTATTCATAGATTAATTGCCAGATGTTTAGCTTTTCAGCTGGGTATCTTTTGTGCCTCCGGCCATGGGGGAAGAAAAAGGAAATCAGATACAATTCCTGCTGGATGGGGCTCTCCCACCAGACAGTGAGTAGGGATCCTCCAGATTCACCCCTCTTGGGAGCAGTCCTGACCTGGTGCTCATGCTGTTTGCTCTGCTAGCTCCTGGAGACTGAGGGCCAAGAATAACCTCAGGGCCGTGGAGTGGGAGAAGTGCTGAGCACCAGGCACTGAGCATCCCCTCTCTCTGAACCCACTGGCAGAGTGCTGAACTATAGAATGGTGAAGCTGTATCAGAAACCATCTCTAGTCCCTTCCACCCAGATCCGGACTGCTGCTGCACTCTGGGTCTGATTTCGAATGGGTTGCTGTTAGTGTTACATAGGCAGTAATGAGTTGAAGTGGAGGCATGTGTAGGGAGCCTGGACCTGCAGAAGTTTCTGTGGAGGGTTAGGATTGGGTTCTCGGGAGTCATGTTTGTCTGTTCAGCCAGCATTTCCTCAGCCCGGGGTATGCAACAGTGCTGTGCTGGGCACACAGATCAGAAGGCCATGAGCAGAGCCTTCTGCCCCATCGCCACTGACCCTACCACATGCATACAGCACTCACCAGGCAAACTTTGGTTCCAGTGTGTTGGTGTCAGCTGTGTTTGTTGATACAGTCATGAAAAGAGTGAGTTTTTGAGAACTGAATTGAATGCTTTGGAATGATTCAATGTGAGAGCAGACCTCTCTGTTTTCCACCAGATTATTTGGTGTAGGTATGGGGCTGTGAAAAATCAGTGGAGATGGAGGCAAGCGACTCAAATACTTTCGGTGGATTCTGCCCTCGTGCTGCTTCTCATGTTTCTTTAGGTAACTTCTCTTTCTAAAAGATACTGCGAGAACTGTTGCTGATGGATGGGGTTTGTAAAAGCTCCAATCCCTCTTCCAAAACAAAATCTTGGACCTGTATCAAAGCACCTACTCGAATAAGTTTTAATTTAAAGCCAGGGTTCACTTAGACATTTTAAACTGATTCTCCACTATAACGTTTTATTTTGCTCTTTCATCCAGGTCTGCTAGGGAAGAGGATCTTGACTATAGCTGAGAGCTGGTCACTGCTGGATGGGGCTGAAGGGCAGATGGCCAAAAGTTAGTTCATAGTGCACCTTGCTTGCTAACTTGCTTGGGCTCTAGCCTGAAGACAGAGGAGTCAGAGGTAGGAGACCATGCAGCACACAAAGCCTGGGCCTGAGATTCAAAGAAGGCACTGGCTCTAGCATCGCACCCAAAATGAAGGAGAAGGGAGGTCAGAGAGACAGCTGGGAAGTGGAGGCACAGGATTTGGTGATGGATAAATTGAGAAGCAGATGGCAATGGAAGGAAAAGGATCTACACTGACTCCCTGTGACTGACTGGCTGATGGTTCTGTTCATTTATGGGAAACCAGAGGAGACTGTGTTTGTCCACATAGGGAGCGGGGGCATTCCAGGTAGAACAGGAGCTCCAGGGGCAGGAAGGAAGCAAGTGGCTACAGGCCACATATGTTGAGGAAAGGGGTCCAAGATGCTTGCATCATTTATTTACCAAACACTCATTAAGCACTTTCTGAGTACCAAATTATAGACCAGAAATATAAGCAAGAATGGGGCTTATCCCAGAACAGGAGGAAGGCCAAATTTAGAGTGTTCAGATGCTATGAGGACAGTGAAGCCCAGGGTACCCACTTCAAGGTGCCCTTGGCATGGATGATAATGTGGGATGAGAGGCTACTATCTTGTAGAAACAGTGCATTGTGGCAGGTCGGGGTTCAGGAAATGGCTTTAAGAAGTGACCAAGGTTCTAGGGCCTGGACAGAGGGGCCAGCAACCTGCCGTAGAAAGTGGAGGCAAGGAAGAGAACTGAGGGAGACATCAGATTAAAAAAGGAGGACTCTCAGAGGACAGAGACACAAAGGGTAAAGGGTTTTGTGGCTTAAAATGTAGATTGTCTTATTACTGGCAGGATTCTGATTTAGGAAAATGATAGCCAAGAACCTGCTGATAAATTATGTGTGCTGATTGCACAGAAAATAAGAATGTCTGCTCATAAAAGCATTTTATAAATCCTGATTTCTATTATTTTTAAGGTGAGAAGCTCTTTTAATTGTCAGGTTTTTAACAATACCTTTTTTATTATTCCATAACACGAGATGTATATTTTTTCTCTTGAATTGTGTGTGTATGTGTATGTTTTTTAAAGCACCTGTGAGTCTTATCTTATTTGTAAGATAAGGGTCTGTTTAATCCAAACAAATATATTTATGAAATAGAGTTGATATAGGAAATGACAGAATAACAACAATGAGGTGACATTTATGAAGCTTTTATTCCTTGAACTTCTGGCATCTCCCCTTCTTTTTCTATCCCTTAACATTTGGATTCCATTGCTTCTATTAAACAGGATATTTTATCCTTTTTTTCCATGAGCCTCATTTTGTACCTTTTTAATCTTCTTTCAAGTGAGCATGCATCTCTGGTTCAGCGCACTGAGCTCTAGTTTTTCTTTGGTTGCGTTTGCTTTTGAAAGCAGCCTACTCTCTGAGAAGCAGAGCTGCCATTAGTTTTACAGTTATTCTAGCCTCTCTCCAAGGAGGTAAGGGATAGTGATTTATTGGACCTTGTTCCCTTCTCCTAGGCATGGCATCTTTTCACTTTTACTTTGATAATTAAAAATGATTCAATTTGGTTTAAAGAGTTCTGCAATCCATTTAGACATGGTGCAAGTTCAAATCCGAAAATCAGTACTGGGAGTTTCCCAGAGAGCCTCTGGGGCCTATTCAGAGTTGAGAAGGGTTGCTGCCAC